TTTTACTAAAATTTATTTTTTTTTTAAATTAATTTTTACTATTTACTCAACATGCTCTATATGATGAATTTTCAAATGACTTTCTTGGATGAATACTTAAAAATAAAATAAAAAAGTAAATATTTATCAAGATAATTACACTAACATATTTATGTATCAAATTATTATACTGTTTTGGCATGATACTGGATCTTTATGATTAATATCACATGTTAAAGACAATTTAATTATCTATCTTGATTTTAAAAATCAAGAAAGTAAAAGTAAGCTAAATGAAAAGTCAGCTACTTTCAACAGAAAAAATGAATCATACTTAGAAATCATTAAAAATGTAACAAATTTGACTAACTTGAAAAATAATTTTAGAATATAGATAGTTGAGATGAAAAAAACATATTAATAGACAAGCACATAAAACAGATAAGCGACATCATTTGTAAAAATGATTTTAGGCATCAAATAAATGTATGAAACTGAGTTCAATCAACTTGTTCATCAACAATAACTATTAAATTTTAAAATTCCACCATTTCATTGTATTATAAAAGTTAAAATTTACATTATTTCTTATATCAATACAATTTCTAAATAGATTTCCTAAAAATATTTTGAAATGCGCTTAAATCTTTTGTCTATGAAACCACACCTGTAGTATCTCCATTTAAAAATACAATTAAATTATTGTTTTTAGAGAATTTATAAAATTATATCTAGAGACTAAATTTTTATATAAGTATAATGTTACTGAGTGTTTGCAGTTTAATTAAAACTTGGATTTAGGAAGAAGTTATTTTTACATAAAAAAAATGTTGTCAATTTTATAAAATCAAATTATTATACAAATTTTTATATTAAGGTACTTGAAAATTAAGTTTTTATTTAAAATAAACAATTTTTTTTTTTTTTTTTTTTGCAATACTTCGATAAAAAAAAAATTAATGATAATAATACCTAGTGTAAAATATACGGTTTAATATTACATATTAAACCATGTATTATTTTTACATACCATTATTATTTGATTTTTAAAAATTAAGTAAAAAAATATAGAATATATTTGGAAGGTTTTAAGAAAATATTAGAAATATATTTAAGGTAATTAAGAGAATATAACTCCAGTCTTTAATTATATCACATAACACTATGTTATAATTTGAAATTAATGTTATAATATAATATAATTTATGTGTTGAAATTTTTAATATATGAAATGCTTTGCTGTAGTTTATTTAATAACTTCTGGGTTTAACTAAAGCAAAACCTTCATTATTAACTCCAAAGCTTTTTTTTTGTTATTTCAAAAAAAAAAAACAACTGTCAAAAACTTGTTTTGTTGTTACAGCAATTGATTATTATAATTAATATCAGTTTATTAACGTTAGACCTCCAATAATTTTTAATTGAGATCTTACATTTATGAGGTCAATAAATTCTAACAAGTAAATATTGTACACATTCAAATAGCAATAAACAATATGTGTATTAGTATTTTTGTAAAGTGCTATAAATTAATTTAACATAACCCACGAAAAATGAAAGCAAATATAATTTTAAAAACTAGATAAAACTTACCAAGCCTAGTTAAATAACCACTATTCCTTATCCAACGGAACATAATTGAAACCTGATATTGATGGTTTCGATTATTGATACAGATTCAACCACAACCCAACTGAGTTAAAATACTATGCCGTTGATACATCTTATAACATCAAAAATTATAAATAAAAATACGAGAACACAAATTTCTCATTAACTACAAAATAACAATTGTTAAAGACAAAACAGATAGGCTTAACGAAAACTATTATCAATATTTATTGTTATCAATTATCAGCGCCTGTGACTATTGGTTATTCAAAAGCTTATATTTTGTTTATAGTAGTAATGACACAGACATAACGTACAAATTATTTTTACAAAAAACCCACTAATATCCTAAACACTGAATTTTTAAGTATTTATGCCTTACCATTATAAAAAAATTGTATTACAATACCTACGAGTTACAATACTATTTTACCAAAATGTGATACGCATAGACGTCTGAGCGGGAATTGTGTTGTCATTTGATAACTATTATTATCATTACATATTATTAAAATTTTTCACTGTCTCACACAACCTAGATTTCTAATAAGTGTGTGCGTGGATTATCGGGTCAAGTTTAACAGTGCGATCTCGCGAACCACTCGAATTACCCTTCAGCTCTGTCTATTAGTATACAGTCCATGGTGAAAATTGATACCTTACACCGTCCAATAACAGAACAATGCTCTGATTAGCAACAGCAATGTCAGTGCAACTATTTGCCTGAGCTCAAAAATTCTTCTAATTTAATTTATTTTTAATTCTGCTGTAATATTTAAATATAATAAAATACAAAATAATTACCATAAAAGTATGTTATAATAATTTTAATATATAAGGTAAGAAATTAATATTAATGCAACTTACATATTAAAGTACAAATACTCTTTTAATATGACACCGTTAAAAGTAAAAAAAAAAAAACGAAGAATAACAAAAAAAACATAGGTGTGTGTGTGTTAGTCGCTTACCGCACTCTTAATTATAACTTACTGACCCCTTCATCCAATATATAACTTATAAAGGTTGGTCCACACTTTGTAGTTTAGTCAAATAGCGAGTGATTTACTAACTATTAAACGCTTTAGTAACTAATATTACTTTTTGTAACTGTTCAGACAGTTTACTGTTTTTTAGTCCATTGTAGTCATATTGGTACTGTGAACAAGTGCAGTAAAACATACATTAACGTCATATAAATAATAATTGTAAATATGAATAGTCTACAAAAAAAAAAATTGAATAAAACAATAGGATTTATTGCAATTGCTCTTCTAGAAGAGGTGGAAGATGAACTTTAAAAGTCAAAGAGAATATGGGTTAGAAAATAGACAAAAGAAGGGATATATTGGAAGCAACAAATTGTCTCCTTAAAGAACTGGCATTTGAAGACCCCAAAGAATACTTCGCTACGTTGAAAATGTCTGAAAAATGTTTTAACTCTTATTAACAAAAATGCAACCACGAATTCAAAATATAAAAATTAAATTAGTTTATTTTTAAAAACATTTGTAAATTAAATTTAAAACACTTTTTGACATTGTTAACTTAGGTTTTTATCTTAATAAAAAAAGTCTCTTTTAGCTTCGATGCGAAGCTTAGAAGGTATTAATTTTACTATTTGTTTTTTATTTTTATTTTAATTTTTTTTTTGTCTGTGAACGCTCAATCTCAGCTCTCGTTTGACTGATTTTGATGAACAATAAGTCAAAAGATCACAAATCGTATCTAGTCGAAGACATTACCCTGAAAAATTGAAAAAATTCCCTCTTTCCTCGTAAATAGATGAAATCCCCCAAAAAATTACAAATCTATAAATCGCTAACTTTCGACATTTTTTCAATTTTTTTACTTAAAACTGCCATTATTTTTTTAAAAATAACCGAATCAATATAATTTTTTTTTATAGATACCTTAGATATTTACCCATCAATTAATACATTTTAGTAAACATTTGACCCTTTACCAGCCTACAGAAAGGGTTACAAAATGGCAACTTTTTCACAAAAAATTAACTTTTGAAAGTGTTCCGGAAATACAGACACTTTTATATATATCTTAAATTAAAGCTTATGTAATATACTTTATTTTGAAAAAAAAAATTTGACCTCTGGATTTGTCTTCATGGTGAAAATGACTATAGTATTCAAAAATATGCTATTTTTGTGTTAAAATTCTGGGTTTTGTATTTTATTTTATTTTAAAATATCTAACAAGGGGAGTACATTAATTTTCATAAATATTTACAAATCAAATTAATATAGAATAGAAAAAATTGATAATAGAATAGTTAAACTTATTTACATTTTTTTGATTTTTTTAAGTCGAGAAAAATAACTTTGAAATGTGAACTGGCTTAAATTGCCATTTTTTTAAGTTGAGGGAAACGACGTACGTTTGCTGAGTCGATAACACTAGTATATTACGCATTTGGGGTACAAGGTTCCAACCCGTGTAGTAAGGATTTTTTTTCTTTTTAAGTTAGAATACATTTTTATCTCATTTGATTTTTATCAAATTTCAAGAAAAAATTTCTTATTCATATTAAAATTATTTTACTATATTTTAGGTTTTAGCTTCGATACAAAGCTGAGAAGGTATTTTTTTTGTGACTATCAAATATAATCTCTTCTCTCACTTATTCAATTTTTTTCAACGATATGTCAAATGATTACAATTCGTATCTAGTTAAAGATATTACCCTCAACAATTCTATTTTATCAATTAAACAGTTACTTATCCCATGTTCTCCATACAGATAATTAAAATCATTAATTTCTCATATTTTCAAAATATTTATTGACGAATCAAATTCGATATGATAGATTTAAATTACAAAATTATATCATTTTCTTTGTGATTTATTACATTTTTAACTCTATTTGTGTGTGCCACTACTAGACTATATCATTACAAATTTTTTGGTAACATGTTGCTATATTAATCATTTTTAAAAAAATGATTGTTAGTTTGTCCTGAATTAACAATGAATTTTTTCAATTATAATGAAATATATTAATCTTAACAATTTCATTTTTTTTTATTTAATGGTTTCAATTTCAAATTTGCAAATTGAGCTAAAAGTTATGGTAATAAATTATTTTTTTTATTATAAACTTTCACAAAAATCAACTTTAAAGGATTAAAAAATAGGTTAAATATGTCATTTTCCTTATTTTTAACATATTAATAATGAAAATCAATATTAATTTAAAACAATTTTTTTCTGTAGTAGTACATAAAATAAATATGTATTAAAAATTTATTTGAAATTCACGTCAAATTCTAATTTTTTTGATTATTGATAACGAAATTATCATTTTATTATTTTTGATAACAGTGTTCATGACGTCATGGATCCGAGAGGATTTTACTGCCGAGATACATATTTGACCTATGCTCAAAATGTTGATAATACAAAGTAAACATTATAATCTGAAGTTCTTACACTATATGATACATTTTTTTAAAAATAATTAATGATAATACAAACTTACTACCTATCAATGCTGTGGTCTAAAACATAGTATTAATATTTATTGATATTCGCGTTCATCGATAAACTCAGTGCTCTTCGTGTGTACAACAGCGTTACATCGCATTTATTTTCCCTTATGTATTTTTTTCGCATTAATTTGGCTTCATTGCTTCCTATTGACATCCAGTGACTTGTTACATAACTAAAAGATCTCCGATAAATATTTCATTACACGGTAATTATACATGCTGTCATTTACTATACATTGATGTTTATTAACTATTATTTAACATAATTAAAATATTTATCTATAACTTAGTAAACATGATGTCATTGTATAAACAATCGCTTCTAGAATTATTTTTTCTTTGTGTGTAAGAAAGAATCTGATCTATTATTCGAGTATAGATTTATAGAATAATATGCATATTAATAATTATAGTAAACTAATTACATCAACTATTAAGATATAATTAGTAACTGTAAACTTCTATTTCACGCAATTGGAATTGATGCATATAATGTTATGGTTCGTTTATATTTTTTCATTTAAGTTAAGATAGAGTAAAATGACATTTTTTTAATTTTTATAAGAAAGCAAAATTTATTTTTCTCATAATGATTAAAAATTTAAATACAAATAATCATTATTTCTAAAAAATAACCCTTTTCTATTATAAAGAAATGTACTTTTTTGTATTGATCATATTATCCAAAAAAGCTAGATTTAAAAACAAAAATTTTAAATTAAAATTTACCATACAATTTAATAATTATAAATTTGTTTAAAAAAAAAATTAAAAAGAATGTGCTTACAATTATAACACAATAATTATGATAAATTAGAGTAAAGTTAATAATTATTATAGTTATAATTAATATATTTTCTTACCCTAATTTATTATTTTAAATCTATCAATTATCTTTCTAGGAAATAAATACAACTGTAAACAATGCCTCTATTCTACAGTGTTGTTGCTAGAGGAATGGTAGTACTTGCAAAGCATGCTAATTATCAAGGAAATTTTGGAGAAATTTTAGAAGGTGTTTTAATTCAAATTGGACCAGAAAACAAGAAACAGAGTCTTTTACATGATCGATATCTCTACCATTATATTTGTGAAGATCAAATTATTTATATGTGCATCACTGATGATGTAAGCAATATTAGTCCTTATTCATTAATTTAATGAACTCAAATTATTAATAAATTATTTATTATACTTTATATAAAGGAATTCCAAAGATCAAAAGCATTTTTCTTTTTGAATGAAATAAAGCGTAGATTTCAAGCTACTTATGGTCAACGAGCATACAGTGCTATAGCTTATTCTATGAACTCTGAATTTGCTCTTATACTTGCATCAGAAATGGTAATAAATCGTTAAAACTAAATTACATGATTAATACACAATGTGCATTTTATTCACAGAAAAGATTTTCAAGTCATAGTGAGTATGATACATTATCAAAAGTTCATGGAGAATTGGATGAACTTAAGGACATAATGGTTCGAAATATTGGTATTTATATTTAAATATTTTGTTTCATTGTTTATTTCTATATATTTTTGGCTTACAATAAAAATATTCCAGATAATGTAGCTCTGCGGGGAGAAAAACTTGAGTTATTAGTTAATAAAACTGAAAATTTGTGTTCTCAATCTATGAATTTTCGAGTTCAGAGTCGAACTCTTCAAAGATCTCTTTTTTGGAAAAATGTCAAAATATATGTTATACTTATTCTAATTGGAATTGTAAGTACTTGTTACATTTTCTTTTTTTTTATATAATTCATTAAAATAATAACTATTTTATTAATAAAAAAAACCTAGATTTTCAACTCAAATATAAAAATGAGTTTGTACTGAATATTGAAGTCTTTTTTAAGATTGTGATATATTATAAATAGACAATGGATAAGTGATAATTTTTACATCCAACAATAAAATTTTTTATAACTTTTACTAGCTAAAACTTGTGTTGCAAACCACTTAAAAAAATAATACGTCAAAAGATCACAAATCGTATCTAGTTGAAGACATTACCCTTAAAAATTGAAAAATTTTCCCTCGTTCCCCTCAAATGGGGGAAATATAAAAAAAAATTACAAATTTAAAAATCGGTAAATTTTGTCATTTTTCTCACTTTTTAGCTTCAATGCGAAGCTGAGAAGGTATTGGTTTTACTAAGATGTGTTTTTTTTTTTTTTTTTTGTGTCTGTTTCCCCTTTTTTTCCGCTCTCA